ATATGTGTAGCGTTTTTCTAGCGCGTGTCAGTGTGATTTCATCAGTGTACTCTCTACCTTACCGGATCCCCATTGTCGCTTTCGAGTCAATACTTCATGGGTCATCATCAGCTGACAAAAGGACTGGTTAGCCCAAGCTGATCCTCTAGCGATTACCACCGCGGGCTCCTTTTTGGAAACTGACCACAAATTACTCGTCGATTGTCTTGGACAGCCTCGTTCCAAATGGAGACGGCCTAGTAAGATAAACGCTGATTGTGGACCTCACCACACGCGGATCGGAGTTGACCTGGTCCAGGAGCTCCGTGGTGCTTGGTTGCAGAGTTGCAGTTGCAAACCTTGGAGGGCAACATGCTGTTCGAGAATTCTGCCGAATAACAACAGAGGCCGTGATAATTGTCTTAGGTGCTCGGCTCAATGCTTGATGCCTTTTCCCGTTCGCAACAGTTTGAAACTGGACGCACTTTTCGATGGGGGTTCTCGTTGCGTAGCCGGACGTCCATCATCGAATTGTGTCGTTAACATAAGTGTACCTGAACTATTGTTCCGACAGTGTTTATCTGATAGCGTCTTAGTCCCGCTGTCCGTAGAGATCACGTCTCACAATCGCACACCAAAACACATTCTACTCTAGTCTTATCTACACATCCATTAAGGTTCGGGGATATGTCGCCTTGCCATTGTGGGTGTCTCAAAATCCGGACAATAGGGATTCTCGCGTGAGTCTCATCTGTCAACAAACTGTCGGGGCTTTCGTCAGCAAACCTTTGAACTTCAGGGTTTTGAAGTTCTCTGAATGGAGAGATCAGGCATCCACTTTTCGTGCAATAGCCTTTGGAAGCCTCTTCTACTCACACGATCACAAATCTAGGGATACAAAACCCTATTCTGTTAACAGACTTCGGGGGTGCTCCTTGTTGTGCATATGTGTTAAGCAGAGAAGACGGGTCAGCTGAGCCAAATGCGCTTTGGAGACTCAGAATTATCGAAATTGCAGGTCGTTTATATGTGTGGCGTTTTTCTAGCACGTGTCAGTGTGATTTTATCAGTGCACTCTCTACCTTACCGGATCCCCATTGTCGCTTTCGAGTCAATACTTCATGGGTCATCATCAGCTGACAAAAGGACTGGTTAGCCCAAGCTGATCCTCTAGCGATTACCACCGCGGGCTCCTTTTTGGAAACTGACCACAAATTACTCGTCGATTGTCTTGGACAGCCTCGTTCCAAATGGAGACGGCCTAGTAAGATAAACGCTGATTGTGGACCTCACCACACGCGGATCGGAGTTGACCTGGTCCAGGAGCTCCGTGGTGCTTGGTTGCAGAGTTGCAGTTGCAAACCTTGGAGGGCAACATGCTGTTCGAGAATTCTGCCGAATAACAACAGTGGCCGTGATAATTGTCTTAGGTGCTCGGCTCAATGCTTGATGCCTTTTCCCGTTCGCAACAGTCTGGTCCTTGCGGTTTAGCTTACAGGCAGTTTTCGGGGCCTGATCTCGCACAGCAGTAGAAATAACTGGGCATCCTCGGCAATATTGCGCTCCATTTCGGCCTTTCTTGTCATCGCTAGACCGGCTATCTGCAGCCTGCACGGCACCAAAAAGTAAAGAAAAGCAGCTCCGGACGAGCGTATGATAAGCATCTACATACGTTTTCAAAAAGTGGCGGTAGTTCGTTATTAATCCACTCCATCGGTAACCGATAGCGATGTGTTCAGTTTGGGTCGGCGACCGGCACGCTGTTCCAGGACACCGGATAGCCAAATGCTTCCAGTTATTCCGGAAGTTGGTTCTATGTATAAGTAGTCCACAATCAGCAAGTGATTGAATGAACCATTCGCCATTGTCCGTACTTGTCTAGTCCACTCCCAGTCAGCCACCCGTTTAGTCTTACTCGTAGTCCACAATCAGCAAGTGATTGAATGAGTCATTCGCCATTGTCCGTACTTGTCGAGTCCATTCCCAGTCGGCCACCCGTTTAGTCTCACTACCCAATTTTGCATTCAAATCTCCGGCGACCGCAACAGTATCAGCTTTTAACCCATCGTAACTGGTTCTCAAGGCATCATGAAAACATCCCTTAATGGTGTGGGAGCTATAAACAAATAATTAACTTCCTATTTCCAAGGTTCACAGACATTGCTAATGAACTGGGCAGAGGCTACTAATGGGTATTCAGGCAAGCACTGGTCCTTCTATTCGACGACTTAGAGTGATGTTGACCCTTGCACAGCCTGTCTTAGCTGTCGCCATGTCGCCAGAGCTGCGGAGCTGCAGGTGAGGGGCGAGTGATTGTGCTCGGTTCTCGAATTCTTGTTCTATCAGGGGTCTAGTTGGCTCAGTATCAAGAGCGCGAATTTACTGACTGGAAGGTCCGTCGTTCGAACTCGGCCTCCGCATCTCGACTTCTATCTAGGCTTGGGCGAGCTGGCAGTATCCCAGCCCTCGTACTTTGGGTAGCATAACAGTTAGGCACCGAAAGAGTATTACAGCTGAATGTTTTTTAAATTTAGTTTCATCACTACCACCTTCAGCTGTAAACAGCGTACATATATATACCATACATATACATATACCACAATTTCGTGGATCGTTAATTCCGGAAGATAGCAATGGATAGCTACACACTGGAGGCAGCAACGGATATAATTGACGTGTGAATCAGAAGTGAGTGAGTTGGGTTCATCTGAACAGTTGGGATTTGCATTTTAAAATCTCTATCCATCCTCTAAATTGCGTTTATTGTCGCCATGACGGTACATGTACAATAGTTTGCCAGCAAGACCAGTCAGGTACTATCGATCCGTCTCCACAGAAATCTGTTGGAGGCGGTAGATTGACTGACTCAACATCGGCTTGTGATTGTGAAGGAGACGTCATAGGGACCAAGTTGCGAAATTCAGAAAGAACGGCAATCTCTAATTGAGACTTCACTGTTAACTGATTGTCACATGGTCGGTCACGAAGGGACTGAACCTTACTTTGTTATAACGGTTCCGCGACTCATTGAGTTATACAGGTGTCCGTACGACACTTGCATAGTCTGTCATGCCAGGTTGGTCAATATTTAGGGGTTTGACGAACACAGTCTCCTGACCCTCCAGTTTGGAGTTTAGAACATGTGTGGTGACCTGTTCTGTGAAAATTGAAATCCATATGCATTTCCCACCAAACACTGCTGTCTCGTGGTCAGGCTGTTAAGCCAGGGGCTCTGGTTGAGGACCCTAATCGTCCTCCTGTCTAGGTGTGGGCGCCTTGGCAGTATTACAGCCCATGTACAACCATGGATTTCACACATACAAATAAACTCATGCCGCATCGACCGTTGAGCTCGAGATGGCTCAGTGGCAGGTCCGTGGTTCGAGCCCGACCTCTGCATCCCGACTGCTCTTGTCCGGGCTTAAGCAACCTGGTAATATCTTGGTCTTCGTGCTCCCTACGGGTGGCATGGCAACTAAGCACTGAAAGGGCGCTACAGCTGAACATCATCATCATTATCATCGACAGCATGACGTGTTCGTTCAACACTGATGCTTCACTGTAGAAAGGGTAAGCGAAAACAGGCTACTGCTGAGGCCCTTGTTCTTTCTCTGCCACATAAATAAAATAATAAGACAACCGTTCAGCCGTAACACCCTTCCGGTGCCTAACTGCCATGCCACCCGAAAAAAAGCATGAGGGCTGGGATACTGCCAGGTTGCCCAAGCCTAGACAGGAGAAGTCGAGATGCAAGGACCGGGTCCAAACCACGGACCTTCCGGTGAGTAAATTCGCGCTCTATCCATCGAACCACTTACCCGCCCACTTGTTATTTTCTTCACAATAAGGCTTTTGAGTGAATTATGATTGTATGCAGCAAAGTGTTAATGTTGAACAGTAATGGTTTCACACATACCAACTGTCTGCAGTTGGCGGTGGGCGTGCTTGTGTTAGGAACTCGCACTGGCTGTCAGTACGGCTTTTTGAACTTGGACGTTTCCTGCTGTATTTCAATAAATGTCATGTACCACTGTGCAGAGATTTTTTGCAGTACGCGAAAAGTCGAAAACTTTGCTTCGAAGTTTTCCGCACTGGAAATTCATACAGGGTAGAAACACTTTCTCCCTGTCAATCAAAAGGAATATTTGATTCCGTCCGTGGGATTTCGGTGTTACTCGAGGCTCACTACATTGGATACCTCAGAAACGTCACGGAATTCTGGTGTCTCCTAACCTTAAGATACTTTCAGATACGTTAAAAATGGTTACCTCAGACAATTTGATCATTGCCTCAATAAGGCGCCTTTCGTCAGAATAACTTGATGCGTTTAGATCCTTGTTCGAGCCCGACCTCTGCCTCTCGACTTCCCCTGTCTAGGCTTGGGCAACCTGGCAGTAACCCAGCCCTCGTGCTTTTTTCGTGTGGCATGGCAGCTAGGCGCCGAAAGGGTGTTACAGCTGAACGACACAACGACACACCACAGATCATGTGCGTCCTATACTGTAATAGGGATTTCGCACCACCTGACACTCTTTTTAGTTGAATTGATCAGCTGACGTGTTCCCCATCTATGCCAGTCCCAGTTACTTCATTTACCGGGAAATGGGAGACGAAGGCAATTGTGGCCAGGCATCAGAGGCACGAATCAAAATCAATCTTGCTGGAGAGGGTCCAGCGGACAGGCTCTAATTCAGTATATGCACTTCGGAATATATACAACCCTGGCTTCGGCGTATGACCCCGTTTCCCCTTGCGTATTGGTGTCCATACAATGGCTGGCTGGAATAGTATTTTCGAAACTTTTATCGAAAACCACTCCGAAGCCTGTTTCAAGCGACCACTGGACGTACGATATGAAAAGTCACATGGAAGTTGTTGCTTTGTTCAATAACGAACCTTTCTTGCGAGGTTTTTGTCCTTGATTGATGATATCCTTATCTTGTTGGGGAAGGAAGGGCTGACACACAAATTTCGGTTTGCTCTGTATATCACACTGAAATTCTACTCTATTTATTATTTCAGCTATCTTATGTCCTTACGAAGTCTGTCCAGGCGTTCTGCACTCATTGACCGCATCATTCGAGTCGATCATGCTGGGGAGCTGGGAGCCAACAGAATATATCAAGGCCAGCTGTTTGTTTTGGGCAAGTCCAGTGTCGGCCCAATCATCAAGGTGGGTTTTGTTTTTTGGCGAATATGTTGACCGGAAGGTCTGTGGTTCGAACTCAACCTCTGCATCTTGATTTCTCCTGTTAAAGCTTGAGCAACCTAGCAGTATCCCAGCCTTCGTGCTTCTTTCGGTTGGCATGGCAGCTATGCATCCAAAGAGTTCTACAGTTGGGTGATTATCTTTATATATATATATATATATATATATATATATATATATATGACAGCCCCGTCAATAGTCCCGCTTACGAGAGACCTCTCGGTTTAAATCGCTGAATTCCACTCC